TTGTTTTACTAAGAAAACTTAGTAATAACTGCTATTGTGACTTTGGATTACTAAAAAAACTTAGTAATAAACACTATTATAGTTTTAGTTTTACTAAGAAAATTTAGTAATAACTGTTATCTCAGCTTCGTAATAATTTTATTAGTAAAAAATGTTTTTGAAGAAATAGACACATTTTTTTACAAGATCTCTTAGTAAAAAAATGTTTCTGAAGTCATAGACACGTTTTTTTACTAAGTTTCTTAGTAAAAAAATGTTTTGAAGCTATGAACACGTTTTTTTACTAGGTCTCTTAGTAAAAAAATGTTTCTGAAGCTACAAATACATTTTTTTACTAGGTCTTTTAGTAAAAACGTTTCTGAAGTCACAAATGCATTTTTTTTATTAGATCTCTTAGTAAAAAAATGCCTCCGAAGTCGTTGAGGTATTTTTACTATGTTTTTTTAGTCTCTAAAACTGCAAAGGCGTTTTTACTATATTGTTTTCTTAGTAAAATAATGTCTTTGAAATTGTCAAGACGTTTTTTATTATGTTTTCTTAGTAAAATAACATACTTTGAAGCTGCAAAGACATTTTTTACAATATTTTTTTTAGTAAAATAATGTCTTTGAAGCTGCAGAGGCATTTTTTACAATATTTTTTTAGTAAAATAACGTCTTTGAAGCTGCAGAGACGTTTTTTACTATATTTTTTTAGTAAAATAATGTCTCTGAAGCCACGAAGGCATTTTTTACTATATTTTTCTTAGTAAAAAGGCATTTTCAAAGTTATAAAAACGCTTTTTACTATAGTTTTCTTAGTAAAAAAGGCATTTTCAAAGCCACAAAGATGCTTTTTACTATATTTTTTTAGTAAAAAAGGTATTTCTGAAGCTGTGAAAGAACTTTTTACTATAATTTTCTTAATAAGAACTACTTCTTATTTGAATACTTGATTTGAATTTGATCAAATTGAATCAATCATTAATTTGGATTTGATCAAATAAATCATTCTTTAATTTGAATTTGATCAAATCAAATCAAATATAAATTTGAATTTGTATTTGATTTGATTTGATTTTCAAATATTTAAATATCAAATCGAATTGTGAAACCCTACTTATTATATATACATTTGCAGAGTGAATATTTTAATAAGCTTTTTGGTTAAAATATACAAAGTTTTTTGAATCCTTTTTTTTGATAGTCCAATTCTTAAGATAGTTAGAATACTTTGTATTATAAAATTTACATATTTTTGTAATATATTCAGACTTACAGATAATCTTAACAGATTATTTTTTTTATACTAAGTAATTAAAGTCTTACTTTAAGACCTAAATTAAAAGGTGATTGAATTCTAATATAATCAAATTCATTCAACTCATTATCTAGTGAGAATTAAAGAATACACTTTACGTGAAATTTTTTTGCTGAACTAATTAAGCGAAGGTTAAAATTTTGATCAGACAATTTCTGATCAATAAACTTACCAAAATTTTCCAATTAAAGTATATACTAATTCTGTAAATACTTTAAGTTCACAGTAATTAATAATAAGGATTGGTGTAAAAAAAACAAAAATGACAACTTGAAATTTTGAAACAAGTTTAGAATTATATTATTATTTAAATGTTCATATAGGCTAAATTTTTGTAGTAATTCAAAGAAAACATATAAAAGATGATAATTACACTTACTAGAGTTTGATAAAGTAGCAATTATTAATTCTTCAAGAATCTCCTTTTAGGTATAATCAAGAATTTGATACAAAGTATTTATGAAAGAAAAACAGATTTAAATAAATACTTTTTGTATCTTAACATCAGTTATTTCTATATCTTCTTGCAAAGCATCTATATTAATTATTACTCTTAAAGGTTTTTGATCATTAATACATTCATAATTTCTGGGTAAACTATATACTTCTGAAATGTCATTTGTGATAGAAAATTTTGGAACTTGATTACCATCTTAGATAACCAATTTATTATTCATTTTATTCTGATTATAATGATTATAAGTATTATATAAACTAGACACTTTTTCATTTAGAAAAAGAAATGAATAAATTAAAAGGTAATCTAGTAAATCTTTATCATCTGACATATTTCTAGATATTGATAAGACAATTTTTTAGATTTTACTTATCAAATTCATGAAAGAAAAGTTATCATTGAACTTTTTCTACCTTAAAGTATATATCACATTAAAGGTAAGAATTATAATTAATATGTTGCAACTTTTAATATTACAATATACGTTACAATTAGTTTTGACTTATATATATTGTAACTAATTTTAGCTTATGTTGCAATTATACATGAAGTCGAAATGAAAACCCAAAAAGTCGAAATGAAAGTCGAAATGGTCGAAATTACGTCATATCACATGATTTTTTATATATAGAAAAAACAAAAAATACAAAAGATGTACGATCTCGGTCAATATCGCACCGATTCGTATGAAACAACTACCATTCGATTCCTCGCGACTAGACGAATCCAATGAGCTAACATTCATTGATTTTGGATCATCCAATCACGAGATACTCGCAATTGTATTATCGGCCGAAATTATAATCAATAAATTCTACTTTAAATAAAGGAGTCCGGATTTCGAAATACGATCACAAATATCTCGAGATGGGATAATCCAAAAATCAATGAATGTTAGCTCATTGGATTCGTTTAGTCGCGAGGAATCGAATGGTAGTTGTTTCATACGAATCGGTGCGATATTGACCGAGATCTTACATCTTTTGTATTTTTTGTTTTTTCTATATATAAAAAATCATGTGATATGATGTAATTTCGACTATTTCAACTTTCATTTCGACTTTGACCTCCAAAGTCAAAACATTTCGACTTTTTGGGTTTTCATTTCGACTTCATGTATAGTTCTATACATGATTTTTGGTTAGATTACAAGATTATAAATATATATTATCTGTTTATCTGTGAGTACTTTTGGGCGTAAGGTGTGGGTAGCTGTGTGCAAATCTAGTTGAACTTGTTTTTGAATGAACTGTTTGTTGTTCGACATCAAGATCCAAATGCCAAGGTATCTTATAGATGAATTATACTTAGCCGGTATAAAATTGAGTGCAGAGGTCAGAAGTTGAAAGTGCACAGCATTTTGGTTCTTAAATGGTGATAAGAGCGTTAATTTTATCTAATTAACCTGGATAGAATTTAATTCATAAAAGTTGTCGGCTATACAGAGCAGGCTATTAAGGGACTCTTTAGATTGTGATAACCAAAGGGTATCGTCCATGTATGCTAGAGCTGGCACGTGTGCTGACAGTGAGTGATGGGTTTCTACATTTCCATGGTTAAATGGCGATGTAACATCCATGTTATACCCAAAAGTTGTATTTTGCACTCGGCATAATAAAGAGTCAAAATAAATGCACCATAAAATTGGTGATAAAATTTTGCCTTGGTCGATGCCAGAAAGAACTGGGTAGATAGGTGTGGGACTATGTATCGTTAGAACTTGATTGAATCTAAAGGCGAACAGTAAGGAGATTAATTCAATAAAATTATTGGGCAGGCGTAGTCTGAGAAGAGCTTTATAGAGCATTCCCAGATTGACCCTGTCATATGCCTTTGATATATCTTGAAAGAGAATCCATAGTTGTTTACGATGGAAGTGTGCATCTTTTTTAATATGATCAAGGATAAATATGGGATCTTTAGTCGACCTATGTGGCAGTCCTGCAAAGTTATATCCTTTCAGAACGTTATGTCTAGATAGAATAGATAGT